GAGCCGTCGTGGGGTCCCCACCGCCTGGCGCTGCTCGTCCCATTCCGGGAGCGCTTCGAGGAGCTGCTGGCCTTCGTGCCCTACATGCACCGCTTCCTGAGCAAGAAGAGGATCCGCCATCACATCTTCATCCTCAACCAGGTGGATCATTTCAGGTAGTGTCTCCCGTCGCTGCGGCGAGCAAAGGCAGTGATGGGGCCCTTCTCCGAAACTCTCTCCCTGCTGTGAGTGCTGAGAGGGCCTCCCGCTTGCCTCTGCCAGCGTGGAGAAGCATGGGGCTCGGACAGCAGGGAGTCTGGGCTGGGGCGTGATGCTCTCCCCAAATTTGCTCACTCTTGAGCTTATAGAAGGACAAAGCGGTATTTTCCTCTTTCTTCCTAAGCAAGAAAAGAATTGTCTACCCCTAGACATTTCAGCTTTCTCCCCAGTGTTGCAGGGCCATGGCCACAAACATCTGGGGATGCTGAAATTCAAAGAAATACGGTGGGGTGTTTGGAAATGCCATCGCTAACCCCCTGCTCGCTGTCTGGTACCTGCCTGCAGCCCTGGCGGGTGCTGTGGAGCTCCCCACACAGGGTGTGCTGTAGCCCTTTGGGCTCTGCAGTGGCCAAACCCCTGTGCATTGCCATCGGGCTCAGCGTGTGCTGCCTGTGTAGGCAGAAGCAGGGGTGCAGTTTCGGGACAGGCAGCAGTGGCACCTGGCGCTGTGAAAGCAGGGAATACTGTGTTTGTGTGTGTCCCCGTTTGGGGACCAGTCGAACATTGAGTTTTGAGGAGCACGGGAGAGGGACGTGAAGGGATGGTGGCTGCTGTGCCTGGTGCTGAGAGTCCCCGGTCCCATGGCAGGTTTAACAGGGCGTCCCTGATCAACGTGGGCTTCCTGGAGAGTGGCAACAACACCGACTACATTGCGATGCACGACGTCGATCTCCTGCCCCTCAATGAGCAGCTGGACTACGGCTTTCCGGAGGCAGGGCCTTTCCACGTGGCATCCCCAGAGCTACACCCGCTCTACCACTATAAGACCTATGTGGGTGGCATCCTGCTGCTCACCAAGCAGCACTATGAGATGGTGAGCACGTGGGGGGGATGTCCCGGCCACTTTGGGGCAGGGGCTACGCCACCGTTTTGGTGAAGAGTCGTACATTTTGTGTTTCACGCTTGGGAGGGGGGGAGTCAAAATGGTTTGGGGACAGAGGTTGCTGCCTGAACTGCTGGGGGCAGGGGAGGGAAGGCTGTGCTGGTGCTCAGGGCTTGTGCTGGTGTCTGCTTCTCTGTGCCACGTGGAGTTGTGCTGGACTGGACCTTGGCTGGTATGATGCTCTTCTCATTTCAGTGCAATGGCATGTCCAACCGCTTCTGGGGCTGGGGACGGGAGGACGATGAGTTTTATCGGCGTATCAAAGGAGCCGGTCTCCAGGTAAGGGGTGCTCCATGGCCTGCTAGGTTGAAATTGCCCTTCTCCTTGTCTCCCCACCTGGCCCCTGGCTGTAGCTGCCCAGGTAAGGACCTGGGGAAGGCAGCCCTTCTGCGCTTCCCGTTCCAGAAGCAGGCATGGCAGGTTTTCTGGTAGCCTTACAGAAGCTTTGCTTTCCTTCCAGGTTCGCCGTCCCTCTGGAATCACGACTGGATACGAGACTTTCCAGCACCTGCATGACCCAGCCTGGAGGAAGAGAGACCAGAAGCGTATTGCTGCGCAGAAGCAGGTGAGACCTCCGTCTGGTCGAGGGGAACCATGGGAGATTCGTGTTGTCATCACCATGTGCTCTGAGCCCTCCTTGCTCATGTCGTCCCCTGCCAGCTCTGGGCTCGCTCCCCGGGCACTGGGTGCTTCCCTCTCCACTGGAAACCAGCCTGGGCTGAGTGATCTTTCTCTTCCTCAGGAACAGTTTAAGGTGGATCGGGAGGGAGGTCTGAACAACGTGAGGTACCGAATCGAGTCACGGACTGCTCTGAGTGTGGCAGGAGCCCCTTGCACCGTCCTTAATATCTTGCTGGACTGTGACACAAGTGAGACCCCTTGGTGCACGTTTGGCTGAGCCAGTCTCCCGTGTGCCAGTCATGTGCGCTGTGCTTGTGCCAAGATGCCGGGGCTGCCACCAAGCTGCTTGGAGCAGGCAGGATTTTTGCAGCGGACGAGCATGGCAGTGCTGGTGAGACACAGAAGAACAGAAGAGGCCGAGAACCGGGCTTTGCTGGGACCAACAGAAGAGGCTGAGAGCGGCTGTCGCTGCGGGTGCTGGTGCTGCCTCCCAGGGCAGGTGCAGGAGGCAGTTTTCCTGCGCTGGACATGGCTGAGCTGCCACCCAGCTCAGAGGACAATAAAGAACTATCAGGGCACTTGTGGGTTGTGAACGCCCCGGGCCATGCCATGCTGCTCCTTTTTCCTGCTTCCTTCACCTGTGGCTTCAGCACACTCATTTCTGGCTTGGCCCTGGCTGCGCTCTGTCTGGAGAGGCCATCTGCTCTGGTTCAGAGGCCAAGCCAGTCTGAAACAGGCTCTGAGTGAGATGGTGCCCATGTTTCAGCTGCCGGGTACCCCCAGGGCTGAGCTGTGGCTGCTTCATTGCAGGAAGTGATTGTGGTTGAGCCGTGCCCCGAGCCCCAGCATCCACAGCTCTGCTGGATGTCAGCAGTTGAGGTAGCCCAGGACTTCTCTCTGTGGAGGAAGGAGGAGAGTTCTGGCTGAGCTGCTCCCTTCCTTGCCTGTCTCCTGTGGCACATGCTGCCTCAGCCTTTTTTGGGGGGTTTGGAGAACCTGATGTCCCCCCAGAAGTGCTGAGGGGAACTGGGATCTGCTCTGGCCCTGTATGAGGTGTCCTGGGAAGGACTGGCTGGCAGGCTCACCGCAGTGCTGGTGGTGTGGGTGAAGGGCAGGAATTAGGATGGTCGCCCCTAACCCCCCTGAGTCGAGGGGAACGAGAGCTTCCCTGGGTGAGGCAGGGGCTGGGACGCTCCCCTTGGAGGTAGGAACGGGGGGGTTGGGTTGATGAGGGAGAGGCAAGGCTATGGGGGCTCAGGCTGTAGATCTTGCACACTTGCTCTAGCTGCCTGGTCCTGCCTTGCTGCCAGGCCAGTTTCTCCCATGTTGTGGCAGGACAAGGGCCTGGGCTGCCCTTTCCAGCAGGGTCGGGTGGGGGATTTACTTGCTAGGGGTATCCCAGTGTTGTTCCCCCACTGCTGGCAGAGCCTGCGAGGACTTTGCTGTGGGCTCAAGCTCCCCACTGTGGATGTGGCTTGTCTGGGTCAGTGAACGGCTGGGGGAAGGTGCCCGGGCAAAGGGCTGTGTTAGCCTTGGGGTGCTGGTGAGCAGGAGGTGACTGGGCAGACGTACCCTGCAAACCCTGGGTCCCCCAGAGCCCAACCTGTGCGGTCACCTGGGGGCCTGCTGCTGTCAGAGCAAGAGCAGCCCGTGGGAGGTGGCAGAAGCACTGGTGCTGTGTGCTGGGAGTGCCCTGGGGCAGGAGATGTGAGGACGAGGAGAATGTCCTCCTCTGGCTGCTGGGAACGTGCCTGGGTACTTTGCAGTGCCGGACGCAGGAGGTGGGGAAGCTGGGAAGGTCCCAATGGGTGAGGAAGGACACTGGGGGCTGCCAGTTGTTTGGGTTTGGTAGAAATCAGCCACACCAGCACCTTTTGCTGGGAAGTGGGATGTGCAGATCTGAGCAGGAGGGGCAGGGGGGCCGCATGTCCTGCTCAGGACCCAGCTCTCGAGCCCCAGGTGGGAGGAGGGGTTGTGGAGCTGGTGGAAATGCCCACTAACACTCAGGAGAGACCCCTGCCAGTGCTGGGCTCCTCTCCTCCACCACCAGCCTGGCCTGGCTGCCTGATTGGGCTGCTGGGTGAAATGGTGCTGTGCCGCTCCAGAGCGGAGGGTGCTTGGGCTGGCTCACAGATGGTGCCATGTGTGGGACTGGGCACTGGGACTTTGCGTGGGCTCTGGGGTCTTGGCATGCATTTTGGGTGCTGCTGCCTCCTCAAGCTGGGCAGACCCAGCCAAGCAGCCGGTACCCCTCCGTTCAGCCCCATCACCAGCACTGGCACCAGGCCCTCCATGTTTCCTGGCCCCCTTCTGTCCTCGTTCCCTGCCTGGCGCTTCCCAGAGCGGTCGCTTTGCTGGGTGCCTGCAGACGTCCCTAGACAGAAGCTGTCACCGTGCCGGGAAGACGAGCGGCCCTGGGGACATTGGCACCTCCGGGGAGGAGTGCCGGGATGAGGGAGGCAAAAGCATCAGAGCCAAGTGTGGGGGTCGTGTACTGCATAGGGGCAGCGGGATTGGGGCGTCTGGAGAGATCTGGTGCCATCTGCTCTCCGTACCACTCTGGAGCTGGGTGAGGAGCCTGGAGCCTGGAGCCCTGCAGACCAGGGTGTGAGGGGGGCTGCCTCCCGAGGAAGGGGTCGAGGTGGTGGTGCAGGGCAGTGACGATCAGGCTGTGCTGCTTTGCATCATCCAAGGTGCAGGCAGGCCCAGCCTGTCCTCCTCCCTAGCTCGGGGCTTGTCCTTGCCCCAGGGCGATGTGGGGACGTGCTGCCCAAGAGCTCCCAATGGCCTCTCCAGCCCAGCGGCCCAGAAGCAGCACTGATGTCTGGCACGAAGATCGCAGGTGGGCTTGGACATGCGGTGCACTGCTCCAGAGGTGTTCCCAGGACCCGTCACGTCCCTCGCTGTGGTCGGGGTCAGGAGCTGTCGGCCCAGCAGCCCTGCTCCTGTCGCTCCATTGCGCAGGATTTGGGATCGGCCACCTGTATGCCAGCCCCTCACCAGTGCCTGAACCACAGCCAGGGCTGGCGGAGGCAGATCAAAGTATTTCTCTGCGCCGTTCAAAATAGATGACACAGTTTCGGGCAGGTTTCATGAAGACGTAGATGTGCAGAAACAGCATATGTGCACCTCGCACTTCGCTCAGTGCTAAAGGCTCCTCTCCCGCTGCCTGGCAGCTATTTCTCAGCTCCACTCGCAGCCCCCTCATCCTCTGGTTGCTTTTGTGGAAGAGGCGCCGTGCTGGAGACCTGGCTTCCTTTTATAGCCCTGAATGTGACTTGGAGGTCGCTCGGCTCCGTTCCCCCCCCACGCACTTTGTTATTAGCAATGGCCCAGTGGGAGGGGACAAGGTTTTTCCCCACTGCCTTTCTGCAGATGGATAACACCCTGCCTGCTGTCCCAGGAGCCCCGTGGAGCCGAGCCAAAGGCCTCCCCGCGTTCCTGTGCTCTCAGAAACCCTGAGGAGGGGGTCAGGATGCTCAGGGACAGAGAGAGCCCATGGAGTCCCAGCCCTGCCCCTCTGCAGCCCCCCTTCTGGGGCCCAAATTGCCGTTCAGGAGGCCATGCGGGGGCTGCTGCGGGCACGGCAATCCAATCGGCTGGCTTCTATTGCCAGGTTGTTTTAAACCGGGTGTTGCCCGGAGAGGTTTGCTGGCAGCCATGTGAAATTGCTGTAGCATCATGATGTGGAGGGGACCAGGGGGCTGAGGTGAGCGGAGAGAGGGGGCTGGGGAAAAGCTGACAGGAGTCAGGAGCATCTCTGCCCAGGGAATGGGGCATCCCTGGCTGCCGGCGTGTTCCGGGCAGGGCCAAGCCCCGGGGCCCCGCGGGAGCTGCCATCCCACAGAGACGTGCTCGGGGGAGTGCAGCCCGTGGTGGAGAAGCGGCGGCAGGAAACGGGGCAGACAGGAAGGAGGGGTGCGGCTGTGACCAGCACCTGTTGAAGTCAGCCCGGCATCACTGCAACCTGCCTGGACCGAGGCCCCGGCAGGATGCTGTTACTGCCTGCCACTGCGGGCATGTGCCTCTGCCTCTGGCAGGGACCCAGCGGCCTCACGGGCTGCTAGGGGTGCTCTGGGCATGGCTGAGCTCCAGGCAGAGGGCCGGGGCATCACAAACACATTCCTGATGCCAACAGGTTGGGAAATGGCACTGTTGCGAAGGGCTCCTCTGTTCAGAGGCCACGTGTGCTGCAGCTCCGGCGTGCAGCTGGGTGGTGAAAAAGAGCCACGGGGAACAGGGAGGAAAGGGACGGAGGGAGCGT